ACAGTGCCTGGAATATATCACGTGCTCATCAAATGCTGGTTGACTAAATTGCAGTAATAGAGAATCAGATCTAAAAAATTAATTCCCCATCCATTGAAATTATTTCCTTTTCCATGCTTCATATAAACACCTGAACAGAACCATCGACCCATAAGAAATGGTTTATTTAAGCTTTCTGCTCTTTATGTTGTTTTATAAAACTAAAAGCAATGGAAGATATTAATGTATTTTAAAACAGCCAAGTTATTATTCAGCCACTAGCTTCTTGAAGAGGTAGCTTTAAATTGTTTTCCTCCTTTGAAGACAATTTGGTATTTTACTACAGCTTAGTTCTGAATTCTGAAACACACTTAAATCTTAGTCAATCATTCTCCTGCTGCATTCCATTACAAAGCTCCAAAAATGTCAATAGCCAAGGCACTTTGAGTGTTACACCAGGGAATTAATTATTAACCCATACATCTCATGATAACACATAGAAAGGAACACAATGTCAAAATCAACACATGTCAGTGTTTCAGTCAGAAATCCTGTTAATACTACTTTCCCTGAAAATCATTTCAAGCAGATAAAGTGGGATATTTAAAAACCTCTTTTCAAAGCTGTGTAGAAATAGAATTCACTTTGAGGAGTCACCACAGACTGCCTTCACTCTGTGGAATGTGAATACAGTCTTTGGTTTAAGCTTTTGCAAACTTTGTAACTTTGGCACATGAACCAGGTATCAGGGAAAACAGTTTCAACTGTTTTGTTGCACAGGAAGGAGAGGAACATATGTCCTATTGGCCATGGTGCTGAGCCTTTTCACAGTTTAACTTTGTGACTTCATTGCAGGGAGGAGTGACGGAGACTATGGTACACTGAATCCCCCACCTGGAAGAAGTGTTTCTACATTATGTACCACTGAGAAAGAAAAGCACTACCAATTAAATTATGACACACCATTGATTTTAGGGCATGCTTCAATTTCAGAGATGTTAAAATGTAAAAAACAGTACATCTTAGAACTAATCAACTGTGGAATTTAAATAGTACTGTAGATTTACTCTGAATTTCATGTAATAATAGTAATAATAAACCCTGGAGTAGACAAAATGGTAGCCTTGAATTTGGTCATCTTTGGACAGTCTCCTCTGTCTTTCCCAAGATTCTCAGCTAGGCAGGTTTGGGAACAACCCAAACGCAAACCAAGTACTTCCCATGGCACCTTCCTATGGGGTCTCCTAGACTGAGTTGCCAGGTAACATACAGGAAGCTCAGTTAAATTTGAAGTTCAGATAAGCAATGAATTTTTTTTTAGTATAAGTATGTCCTCAATACTACATGAGTTATACTAAAAAATATTGAGAATCTTATTTTTATTTGCCAATCTGCAACCATGCTCCCAGGGTAATTTTGAGTGCATTTGACCTTTGCCACATGCTTTCACTCTAGGACCTTAACCTTTACCACAATACCTTATTCACTCCTCACCACCACCCTGAGAGTTAGGGGTTATTGCAGGTTGTTTTAGAGCTCAGGAGCTAAATTTCCTCTCATATATAGATTAGTTGGTTTGGGTCTGAATTCTGATTATAGATTTTAATCCTTCTTACAGGGTAAAAAGGTCCAAATGGTAGGGATCACTGGGGAACCATGAAGATGGTAAAGGTACTTTTACACCTGGAAACAACCCCTGTGGGTTGTTCACTGTTCACTGTCATGGGATGGTATACGCATCATCATCATCATCATCATCATCATCATTATCATCATCATCATAGCAAACACTAAGAACCAGTTACTACGTGTCAGGCATGTCACAACTCACAATTTCTTTTACTACCTCCTTTTTATGGAAAGGTAAACTGAGGCACAGAGAATTTAAGGAGCTTGCCCTTTTCGTTGTTAACGTCTAGGCCTAACCTCATCTTCTTAGAGAGCCCTTGCTGGGTGCTCCTTGGATAACCCTCAACCCCCATCACTCTCTATTCTAATACTCTGTTTCTTTGTGAATCTAAATTGACTCTCAAAAGCCTTCTCAAATTAGGGTAGCTCCTCCTAGCATCTTTCCCTTTGGTGTCTACCCTCCTTACCTGGGTGCCCCATGAGGACAGTTAAGGGGTCTGTCTGGCTCAGTGCTTTAGGGCAGGCCCTGAATAAATACCTGGTGTATTAATAAGTAGTCGCTGTCTTTCCCTCTGGACACCTGAAGGTACTCTAGAAGATTTGTCAGGGGTGAAACCCCTTCATTAAAGTTTTCCCTAGACCAACAGTGTCTTCTCTCTCTCTCTCTCTTTCTCTCTCCTGTTCAATAAGCCATTAAGCCATAGTGTTTAAGGTAAGCCTGGACAACGGCTTCCAGCCACCAGGTTCTTCGGTTGCCTCAAGAGAACAGAACTGTACTCTACCCCACAGCATGTTTAATTTCCAAGTAGCCTGGGTGGCTCTTCCAAGACACAAGATTTGTCTACCAGGACCTTTCTCAGGGTCCCTACCCCTACAGAAACTGAAATCCTATTCAAAGTCTCCTGAACTAGATCAGTAGCCTGGTGTTGCTGGGACAGCTGTGAGGCCCAGACACCCCCTTGACAGGGTGTGTATAGAAGAGCAGTAGGGAGCAGAGTTTGCAAAGGACAGCCTCAGTTCTGTTGGAAGGATTTCAAGCAATGGGCTAAAAGACAGATGTATTCTTTCTTTATGCGCATGGGCTTTATCTGCATACACATAGGTTTGTTTGTTTTTTCCTCAGTGTGCTGCTTCTCAACAGTTAAGTTCATCTTAGAATTGTTTGAGAAATTTGAAAACAATCCCCAAATATGGGCTGCCTCAATCCAATTAAATCAGAGCAGTTTTTAAAGTTCTTCCCCTTCCTGTGAGTAGCCAGGGTTGGGCACGGCTCTTCTAAAAGCCACAGGCTTGCATAGGGGCATTTAAGAGGGAAACAGAAGTTTCAAAAACCATGTGCAACAGAGCTTTGCAAATATGACTAGTTTTTGTTTTATTTATTTCCTATTTCCCATAAACAACTTCCAAGCGTTGGCACAACGTTGCCATCTGTAAGGCATATGTCAATAACAGACGGTCGCCTAATAATCAGAAAGGCATTAACGTTTGCAGGCTCTAAATTATTTGGATTCATCTGGTATGATCTGCGTTGATGAGGCCACTTAATGGTTGATTCTGTGTCTCCAGTGGCTGAACCAGAAATGGGAAGACCATGCTTTCTGAGCTTTGCATTGTTCTTTGTCACCCTACTGATTTGTTACAAGATGGATTTATAACAGATCCAAAGCTAGTATCAAAATGAAAATTAGTTCTTGAGTAGAAAAATAGCAATCCAGTTTGACTTGCCTGTAGCAATTGTGTCATATCTGCCTCTGCAAGGAAGGAAATGACTTCTTAATGTGGTTTTCCTTCCACTAAAGAGAATTAAATCTGTGAGGCAAAATGTAAAACCAGCCTCTGGCAGCCGGATTCTGAAGGGAAGATCCATGACCCTCATAAACATATCTGTGGCCTGCCTGGTTATATGCTAATGAACCTCATTTAGGCTCAAACTGGAGAGCTGGGCTATTGTTCCCTCACTGTTTTGCCTTTTGTATCAAAGTTTGCTCTGAAACTATGGGACAACTTCTCCATCTGCTGCAGGCTGCCAAGATGGGGGTCTCTGAGTTGGATTTAGAGTGATTTGGGCCTGACTTAGCAAATTCCACTAGTTTAGTTGATAGACTTTTTGCTGAGTTAGCAAGATTCTTTGAGCTGGACCTGACTTTTGGGCGAATGCACCTGGTGGGGTCGAGCAGGATCAGTAGAACAAGCCAATCTTTAGAGGCATTCAAGTTTGTCTAGGACGGAACAAAAGGCAAAAATTAATTGTTGGGAACGACTCTGGAGCTCCTGCTTCCTAGCTGGGTGATCTTTGGCAGGTGAGTGAAATTCTGGGGACCTCAACAGTGCCTGCCTTGTGCATGGATTACTCTAAGGATTAAATGAAATGATGCATGATGAAATAATACATGCCAGAGAAACTGCCCTTCGCATCCCAAATACCAACCATCTTTGGTGCTATTAAATCATTTGCCTTAATCTCCTTGAATAGCTTAACACAAAATACTACACTGTGCATCCTATGGAGAAGTATATTTTCAGCATTTATAGTATATAGAGCCTCACACAGGACTAACAAATGTAGTTAATAAAACTGAATTGAAATAGGAGATTAAGGGGAAAATTGAGCTCTTCTAATGGAGAGTTCTGAAAATATCCCCTCTCTTTAAAAGAATTGAAATTTTATTCACTCTATATGTAAATCTGATACATATGAAAGATATTTTTTAAAGAAATATGGATATTAAGAGGATTTTTAAACAATTCTACTAAGACCAATTCCTAATATTTTGATGTTTCCTAATTTAATTATTTTACTGTTGGCCTGCTTGAAGCCTCTTTTAACAGATATACTCTTCTTTCTCACTCAGTACTCATGGCCCTTGTATTATTACCATAAATGTGCTTTGGCTATTTTGGTTCACTGAACAAAACTGCTCAGAGCTCCTATAAGACAGGCGAAGCCAAAATGAGTGGTATGCAAACCCCAGGGTGGCTCAGAGAGCCGACTATGGGCAGGCAGCACAGTCAGTGCCTTTAGTGCCTGCTAAGTGAAAGAAGTGAGTGATGATGGCTGAAGCGGGAGATTAGAGAGTTGGAGGGATTGTGGTACCTGGCCGGATACCCCCTCAATCTGTGACCCCCACTCCCACCCTCAGCAGACAATTATAAGCAGCAAACGGGCGACAGGGTAGCGTAATTTGGTTATTTTATTGCAAATGATGGAAATATGATTTTATACATGAAACTGCTCCATATTCAAATTTGGGCAACTAGCAACTAATGAGATTAAAAGATACCCACTTCCCAGCTTCTGATTTGCAAATTCTGTGTAGCTACCACACAACAGTTGTTTAAGGAGATCCTAAAATCCCATTAATGAATGCATTCTATTTTTTATTTCTCCAAAGCTCCAGAAACATGACAAAGAGGAGGAGGACTCCCCAGCCTTGTGGAGATCGGAGGAGGAAATGGCAGCAGAAGCTGCAGCACTGAGGGTCTACTTTCAGTGACCCAGGTAAAGATTCCACTCGCTCATCATTGCCGCCTCTAAGGCGCCTCAGCAAAGGGGCTCCCTGCCCAGGTTGGGGGCATAGAAAAGTGGCTGCCCCAACAGCCTAAGGTGGTGGCTTCAAAGACGGAAAAGCCAGAGTGGAGAAAACCTTGATTCCTGAGGCCTTATTTCAATACGCGAGCCCCCTCTTCCTCCCTGTCTGTCCACTCCCTTCCAGCCCACCCCAGACCACTGTCACCCCTCATCTGTTTTCTCCTCTCTGATACCACTCTTCTTCAATCCAGTTTTCACAAAACTGGATAGTTTGTGACTCATACCTGATCATTTAAGAGGTTAAAGTCTTTTAAGAGAGTCACATCATCCTTAGGCTCAACTCCCACCCTTCCTCTGTCAGTTTGCAAGGTGCTATGAACCGGCTGTCTCTACCTGCAGGCCAGGTCGGCCATGCCAAGGCCAGCTCATCTTTCACTTTGGGCCTCTGCTCCCCAGCTGCTGGTTGGAAAGTTACCCTTTGTGTTTCCCTTTAGCTTTGGCTGCTAGGAAGCTCAGGACACAGGAAAAGGTCAAGATGAGAAGGAATTATTTCTTTGCAGTAATGATGTTTAACTATTGGGAGATCACAGATTTAAGGTGCTGGTGGAAAGTTATAGCCATCCTCCTTTTCAGAATATATGTACACACCAAATTTTTATACAATGTCATGGGGTTCATGAGTCTTCTGAAATTTATTAATAGGGTTGCCATGAAATATTGGGATGAACCTAGATGAAAAAAACTACTTGTTTATTTAAAATTCAAATTTAACTGGAATTCCTGTATTTTTCTGGTACCCCTATTACTAAACCTCCTTAGGAATTAATGCACCCCTGATAAGGAGCTTCTCCTCTGAATAGATTATTTTCCTCCTTAGAATTGTCTTCTTCATCTGGCCTGTGTAAATGTGTTTATATTATAAGCTGCTGCAGTAGATCAGATACTAAATTAAAACACAATTAGTGAACACATATGAGTAGAAACTGAATTATGTAAAATTGTGTCAATCACTTAGTGATTCAGATTTTTGGCTACAAAACACATTCACTGTGTTTCCTTTTTTACCATGAAATGTAAGCCCTTTTCAGTTAGTTTAAAAAAGATGTGCATTTGATAGCCTCTCACCGCAACCTGCTTTTTCAGAGCATTCTTATTACTTAAAGGCCCAGTGGTCACCACCTCACCTTCATTACGGCACAGGTATGTTGTACTCTGGCCCTCGTGCATCCTAGAAAGCTCATTCCATCTGCCCCGTCACTGGCTTGTCAGCTCAGCACTCAATTGCCTGAAGGGACATATATGGTGCTAGCAGCTGCTGTTTTTGATGTTTTATTTTTACTGTGTTCACTTTCTCATTTCTTTCTTTTTTTTTTCAAGGATCAAGCTAGTTTACCTGAGAACATAGGCCTAAGGGCATGACTGCAATCCTCTTTCCATTCCTCTTCTGAAATCTAGTGTGTCGTTTGGAATGTCCTGTCCAAGTGGGGTCACCATTCTTCAGGCTCGGCTTCCTTCCTGGATGAATGTTCTTCTGCCTGGTTTTCTTATGTAACAGACACTTTCAGGTAGAGGCGAAAAAGCTCTAGGCCTTCCCTGAGGCTTGCTGAATTGTAGAGTTTGTCTTACAATGTACTTTCTAGACACTTTAAGAGGATTTAAACTTCTCACCCGAGTTGCCAGTATGCTTTGTCTGTTTTGCTTCTGTCTTGCCTTGAGGCCCAGCATCTCCTGCCTACAGGGTGAATCAACATGTCTTACACATGCCAGAAAGGCAGTTACCCTAACTTGTTATACAGTCTATTGCACTGTGACTGTAAGGTTTTAAATGAACTAACATGAATTTTTCTTTTTAAGGGTTTAGTTTACAGGCCAAATAAATTACCCTCAGTTTTCTAGGCAGTCAGACAGTCAGATGTGGGACCCGAGACCAGGATGGGCAATGTGAGTTGCCCAACAGTACACTAGTAATTTGAGGTGAAGGACTTAAATTTAGGGGCCTAAGATTTCTCTAAAAGCATCACCATTTCCTGTTGTATAATGGGACTGAATATACCTCTCTTTACAGACAAAGGGGAAAGGAAACATTCCATTCAGGAAACCTGCTCATTGGGTCCACCTGGTCCTTTGACGCCTACCTCCTCTCTTTTGAAAATGCATCTACACACAAAATGTTTATACAGTGTTAAACAGTTCATGGAACTTCTGAAATGTGTTAATAAATGGGTCAGCCATTCAATATTTGGCCATACCTATTTATTGTTTTTCTGACATATGGATGAACTTGGCCTGTCCAGGCTTCCTGACTGTACTCTCAGTGGGCAGTCAGTCTCAGGCAGAGCCAGTTTAAAGATTTTGATGGGGCTTACTCTGCAACATTGCATGACTTGCAACATGTGCAAAAGCAATGTTAAGGGGCTAAGCCTTAACATTGGCAATAGCCAGTGCTACCAAGATTTACAAGGCATGGGTTCTATTATCCATCCGACAGGTGATAAGAAAACTGAGACTTGGTGATGTTACGTTTTATTCCATGGCAAATGGTTAGTAAGTGATGGAGCTCAGACTTGAACCCAAGCAGTGCAATCCCAAAGGCCATTCTAGTTTTCGTACTGCCCACCTCACTGAAAGAGCTCACTTCAGCCAGCAGCGCCTCCCTACCCCAGCTTCCTTGGACCCCTCCAAATATTTTCTTTTTTTCTTCACCTGGTCTGCTGGCCTCCCTAGTTCCACTCTGAGGAATTTCCTCTTCTTCCCCTGCTGGACTTCCTTACCAGCCTTGCTAATATCACCCTCCCAGTACCTGCCTTCTCGGCTACATTGCATCCAGGTCTCAGGAATCAAAATAGGCCTGAGTTTGCACCCCCTGCCTTCACTCACTTGCACATTGTTCCAGACCCTGCTGAGGCTGCCCACCCTCTTTTCTGCCACATCTGACCATGTGCCCAAGCAATATGGTCTTGGATGAGTACAGTGTCTCCCAAATTCCATCCATTCCAATTTTGTCGTGATTTCTCTCATTTTGTGTATAACCTAGCATGTTGTTTACTTATTATTTATTTGATTCACTTTTTAAATTTCAGTTCACTTATCTTAAACTTTATTATCAGAGCCTCAATGGGAAACAAATATTACTGTAATTAGAAGTTAAACATAAAAACAAATATAAGAGGAAAACAATGCTGATGAATTGTAGCTCTGCATAGTTGCTTGCCTGTAGCTATCTAGACCGGGGTTCCTTCTTTCTTTGTTAAACAGAGAGGTTGGCCATCCTTAGAGAGCCATTTAATTTCAGCACCAAAGTGAGACTCTCCATTTGACCTATTCAAAAGGATTAAAAGAGAATACTCTACAGAGGGATTCAATGTAGATCACCTGAAATTATCTTAAACAGGCAAATGATGCATTGTCTTTAGAAAACTGAAGTGGAGGCTAGAATTCAAAACCAGAGCAAGCTGATTCCAGTCCTGCTCCAGCCACTACTAAGTCAGTGCTCCCTATATCTCTCTCCAGGCACGTGGGGGGAGATAAGGCACATGTGGGAAAACCAGAGTCACCTTCCCTAGGGACGAGAGGCCACACTCTTGTGCCTGGCTGAGAACACCAGGCGGGAAGGCCTACACCATGTGCTGCTGCCGCACATGGGCACACTCAGACTCTAGGCTGGTTGGATCTGTTTGCAATCACTCCTCCTGGGAGGCCAAGTGTTAAGGGCTGGACCTTAGCACTTAATTTGCCATTAATCATCCTTAAAAACAAGCATGTTGCAAAGTAGAATGTGCAAACCTATAGAGATGCCCTATACAGGAGAATGGAGTATTATAGGCAAAAGCTGCTCTCTGATGAATGTTTGGTTTGGAAATACCTAGCAAACCACTCAGCAGCAAACCCTGTTCTCTATCTTCATGTGTGAACCCAGATCAATCCTCTACTGGCAGAACTGCCATAGGACCACAAAGATAAACATTCCAACACTATCAACTCTTTCCTCCGCCTCTTGAAGCCATTAGGACATCAACATTAGGTTAGTTATGTAGAATAATTCTCTTGATCATGTCATATAATGATGTTTTGGCTTCTCTCTGGATCCTTTGCCTAGCAGAAATTAGTTTGAATTGCAGTTTTTTAAACATAGTAGAGAGAAAAATAAACATCACCTTCACCATGCACAGGAAAAGACAACCTTCTAAGGTTGCTGAACAAAGCTATGGTTGTCTCATCCTCCACCTGACAGATCCCTAATAAGGCTGGTAACCCTTTGGTTCCAGAATTCAGCATCTGCCTCCTGCTTAGGTGAATTTATGCATTGCCTCCCCACACACTGGGCTGAGTCCAGAGGAGGGTCTGCATTCCTTACCTAATGCATCCTTCCTGGAACATAATCATTTTTAGGTATTTAATACTTGGTTTTGCTGCCCCTACACATCCATGATACACTTCCTAGTTAATTTTAAAGCAAAGTGTGTACTAGTAAGGGATGATTTTGTCATTCCCTGTCTCCATTCCCACCCCATGTTGGAAGTGAGTGGGGTGTGTTGTTTGTAAAATATGCAAGCATTGCCCCTGACTCTGAAATTAAGTCAGAGCGGGGCACGTTTCCATGCTCTCTTGTGTCAGCAGAGTTTATCTGTAATTCATCAAACTCCTCTGTGCTTGCCATTAGTTTATAGATAATTGGTTGCCTCTTATTTACTTATAACAGAGCCTTGCAATTTCAAAGCAACTGAGTCAGCCCAAAACAGCATTATTAGTGGTTACAGATATACTGTCAAGGCAAAATTTTGACACTGGCATTTTTTAAAAATCACCATGATTTCAGCCACTGGACCACACATATCATAATCATGGCCAGTAGAGGTAGACAAGAAAGAACAGGTTTGCTTAGTGAGTATGTGTTCTGGTCACTGAATGATACCTATTAAAATCTATCCTATAAGCCTGGAAAAATCTTCAGCCTTCTCAAAGAGTGTCTG